GTTCTGGAGTTAAAGATATTGAAATCTCTGATCATATGCTCGCTTTTTACGATTTAGGGCGACTTCTCATGAGCGTAATTTGACATTTATGGCGTGACAGCGTACCTGAATGCAGAATTCTGATTGGCCAAAATTGCGCCATATTGGATACGCTGACACTCTGCCGCAGATACACCAAAAGTTGAGCAAAGCTCAACTTTTCGCGTAAAAATTCAGTGTTTTTAGAGGTTAAGGTTGCAACCGTTTCGTTTTCTTGATTTTTGTGATTTACTGTCCATATTTGTAACTATTTGGAACTAAAGCAATAACAAATACAAATTTGTACAATCAAAATTCAAAGAAATTTTTCAAATTTTAGGAAAAAAATATAATTTTGACATACGCAGCGGCGTAAATTCTCCACTCCATGTGAATGTTGCGCAGAAATTCACGTATTCAGTATTTGCGCCAGTTATGTCAAGTTTACGCTCATGAGAAGCCGGCCTTAGAATTGGGCGAAACAAAGGTAAGAACTCACAATTTTATCTACAGACAATTACATAACATAGATATGCCATAATTTTCACACGATATTGCTCATCTTCCATGGGAAGTAATGTATAGGATGGGGAATATAGAAGATAAAGTAATTTTTTTACAAATAGTATTTTGGACATATTTAATATTCATGCACCGTTAAAAAAAGTTAAAGGAAAAAAAAAAGACCATATCAACCCTGGATTACTCCAAATATTCGGTATATGCAGACTCAGGAACAAAGCTTTTGATAATTTCAAGAGTACAAAAGGTTCTGTGCACTGGCAGTACTACAAGGAACTTCGCAACTTAACAGCTTCTGCAATAAGAGCGGAAAAGAGAGCTTACTTGAATTTCAAATTTAATAATTTTACCTACCCAGAAACAGAAATGGCAGGAGTTGAAGAAAATAAATGTTTGCTCAGAAAAAAATTCGTAATCTTCCGGTAAATCTTAGAGATGTTGATAAACTCAACAAGTATTTTACAGAAGTTTCCAAAAATGCAAATCCGCCTGATGCAGAGCTTATTTCATTTTACAATAATAACAGGTTAACTGAACATGTGTTCTCTTTTGCTCTTGTCTCAGATGAACTTATCATGGATGTTTTGAAAAGTATCAAAACTAAAGTCTTTGGCTCTAATAAGCTGAATATCACGTTGATCTTGCTCTGCTGTCCAGTAATATCCGGAGAACCACAGGGTAGTATTCTTGGACCTCTGTTATACACTGTGTATACATCTCAATTTGAGAAATCATTAAGAAACTGCAAATGTCAAATGTACGCTGATGATAACCAGGTTTATCTAACTTTTGATCCAGCTAATATTGATCTTGGTAATGACTGCATAAATGAAGATCGAAATAAATTATTTCTAGAAACCAAAAAACATCTCAAGATAAATCCAACAAAGTCAGTGGGCCTTCTTTTTAGTAATGAAAGTGTTAGAGAGAGCATCTTAAATAATATTAATTTACGACTGGATCAGAATCAAATACTGTATCCGCCAAAATAAACAGTACCGAAATCTAGAGCTCTGAGTAATTGCGCACACAAGTTGCATTTATCATATTTCGCTTACTTGGCATTAGGTATGAAGTTGACATTAAGTTAAGGTTAGAATCTTCGTCATTATGTATCTTTTAACTTAAGAAACAGTTTTCTTAGTAGATCACTTTTTTCCGGTCATACGGATTTGGAAGGAATAAAGGCTCAAGTTTGAAACGAGTCTCAGAAAAATTTCAGCAACTACTCTTAATAAATATTTTCAATTATTTGCAGAATCGCTATGAAGCTTTTTTGCGTCACTATGATGCATTTTTTGAACATATACGCATGATACAAATTAATAAATGATATAAATTATATGTTTAGGGACGAGTTCAGAAATAACACACCGGGTGTGAGTGCGATTTTATGGGTGTGACGAGCGACAACTTTCGTATGAATTTCTGAACGCATGGTGTGACCAATCGAGCATCTCCTCAAAAATTTCACCAAATCTATTAGGATTACTTTTTTTTTGTTGTTCATTTCTTTAATTTGAAGGAAAAACTTTAATTCTTAACTGTGTTTTGTTTATATTTGGTGGGATTATTGAGATTATGGGAGGAATGGTTGACATTGTTGACATAAAGACACAATCACACCGCAGCCACACCAAAAAATTATGGTGTGACCGGTGCGACAACTGGAGCGTGCCCGAAGTACTTTCTGAACGGCACAGAGTGCGCGCACTCGGTGTGCATGAACGGCACCGGTGTCACACTCACACTGAGTGTGTCATTCCTGTACTCGCCCCTGAGATTTCCAGACTTTTCCAGACATTATCCAGACTTATTCAGAGCCTTTCAGAGTTTTCCAGATTTCATCCAGATTTACCCAGACTTGTACAGACTGATCTGGATTCTGGGAAATGATTCCCAGGTCTTTTGAAACCTTTTCCAGAATTTTTCCGACCCTTTCCATAAATTTCCAAGTTTTTTCCAGACGTTTCCAGACAATATCCAGACTTATCCAGAGTTTTACAGACTTTATCCAGATTTATCCAGATTTATCCAGATCTTATCCAGACTTGTACAGACTGATCCGGATTCTTGAAAATGATCCCCACGTCTTTTGGGACCTTTGGCAGAATTTTTCCGGCCCTTTCCAGTAATTTCCAGGCTCTTCCCAGACGTTTCCAGAGATTTCCAGACATTTCCAGACATGTTTCAGACTTTTCCAGGCTTTAAACAGATTTATCCAGACTTGTACAAACTGCTCCAGACCTTATCCAGTCCTTTCCTGACCTCTCTGGACTTCTTCCAAAGACTTGCCCGACTTGTTCCAGCTCACTTGGCTTGTTTCAGGTTAAGTTTCACTTCAGTTGAAAATCCATGCTAAATTGGTGGATCACGTTTGTAGATCTTTTATCGTCGGAAAATGGGAGGGTGAGGGTGGGAATGTGCTCTGAATGAGTATTGCTAAGCCGTGGTATTGCTATTAAATTGACAGCTTGTCTAAGAAGTTTTGGACATAGAAATGTATGCTTGTGTCAGATTTTGAAACTGAATTAGTAAATAATATACCAGGCCCTGCGATCTCTCATTGCCAGTTATAAACCACATAATAACTCTTTTCCGTTTTTCTAGATGCCGCTGACAAACACAGAATTGTCAAAATTGGAAAATACCAGAGGCACATCAAAAACACGTCCGATGTCGATAACTGACATGTCAACATATAACAATATGCCAAAATATTCATTTGATCATAACTAATAATTCATAATGTTTTTTGTTCGCCGGTCTTGCATTTCATCTTTCTTTGTGTTGTCAAGTGTTCTTAAGTGATTTCAAAGTTGTTTTGTGTGTTTCAAGAAGAACTTCAAACTTTATTGATTGGAAGATCTATTTTTATCTTTGTTGATTAGATAAATGACAGGTTCAATTAAACATTAATCAGAACTTTGAATAAATATGTTAAGGATACCCTTAACCGTCGATAAAGAAACTGTCTTTTGATCTAATTAACAAATTATCAATTAATTTGAGCAAACATTAATGCCCCAAAGTCCAGAATAAACGAATTTGAACAGACCGACAGTAATGCGAACAGGGCGCCATCTATCATAAAAAGTCCTTTGTAAAGTAGGTGTCTGTAGCATCGATGCAAATAGTGATTTTCCGATATGGTAGATGGCGCTGGCTTGGCTCAATTTTGTTGACAACAAAATTTACACTGAGATTCCATTCTCGGCAGTTTATATAGTATTTATCTCTGATAATATACACACTACTAAAGTCCGACAAATACCATTATAAAGTTACGTGATATTGGTGGCAAAAAACGTATGTTCACTGATTGTCGTTGACAATGAACTATAGCTAAAAACTGGAATGCGCACACATTGCCATATCTGCCAAAAAAATGAAGCCATGAAAGACAGAGGCCACAAGAGGGAATGTTGTTTTTTTCTGTTGCTCGCTGACATATGACGTTTTCGAAAGTTTTGTCATATTTCCCTTCACAGGTTTCATCAATTGGAATACGTGTTGGAAGCAATTTACGCCATTTAACATAATGAGTGCGACAAAAACAGGTATCCCCTCCGCAGCAGCCGCACTAGGCTTCACGTTCGTCCTTATGTGTTAGCATTCCAGTTTTTGGTTATAGTTCATTGGTCGTTGATATCATCTACAAAAAGCTACTGGTGGTTAATTACTATTGAATTTTAAGATATGTTCCCACTAGCATTTTACAAACGCATTTCTGAAGTAGTATTGACCAATCAGATGGGAATTTTAATGCTTGCAATTGTTGCGGGACTCACTTTTGTCGCTTCTGCTGCCCCTTGTAATATATTCTGAACTTGAATTGGGTACCCGTTTTCTATTTGCTTCTTTTTGAGTTGGAAAAAGGTTAATATAGTCAAAATTATTAGCTGTGTTTGTTCGTTGTATCATTTTCGAAAATAACTTTGACAAACTAATTGATGACAGTGACGGATTCTATTTCAGGTAAGAATTTTATGAACAATAATTGGACACCAATTTTTTTGTCAATTTTACTATCACCGCTGTTTAAGATGAATTCAACAAGGATAGAGAAAAATCACGTGACTTTAAAATGGTATTTGTTGGACTTTACTAGTACTACTTGGCTAGAAGGTCCGTTGTTAGGTGTCATCAACGGTTAATTATATCAATTTTTTTTGTGTTCTAATAATTTTCAAAACAATCACTTCAAGAAATAATATGATGAAAAAAAATTTTAACCAAAAAAAGTTATTCCCAAAAAAGTACTCGAATCTCTGAGTGTGACATCATAATCAAATTCACCCAAACACAAAGACACAAATTTCAAAATCCATGTCCGAAATTTTTGAATGGGAACACACATTACCCCATCATATTCTTTGCGCAATGAATTATTATTTAAGTGCTTTATCTAAGAGAAAAAAAACTTGAAAGATTATTGAATTCTAAATATTTTTTTTCAGGTTTCAAAAAAGGCAAAACAGCATGAAGTGCACAAAAATAAAACTAACCAGAAGAGACGAAATAACCAATAAAAAGCACAAAGAAGACGAAACCATTTCATGGACTACGACAGGATATCATGGGTATTAGTAATTAATCACTAAACAAACAATAAAATAGCAACATTATTTTTAGATACTCCTATAAACTGCCAGTGAAATGCAGAGAACATTTAACTCCCAGAAAAGAAACCGAGCCTCAACTAACCATTACTACAATGCTTTTTCCTGAAAATATTTATTTCAATACGGGTTCCTCTACGGAAAGATGGTCCAAAAAAGCTCCAAGGCTAATTTCCGCAAAACGTAGAAACTACACTCCCAGAAAAAACATGTTAGACGACGAATATGATTTACCCTATGATATCAGTGAATTTTTAGATAATACCGATAATAACAAACCAGAGAATGTAAATTTGGATTTGAATTTTGATGATGCTGATTACGTTGCTGAAGATATAGAACAATTAATAATAAAATCGCAAATAATAAACGAAGAAAGTGACAAAATGCCATCGAAAACCAGAAAACGTGATAAAGACACGGCCAAAAAAAAAAGAAACAAATTTAAAAAGACAATAAAGTTTTCATTTTCAAAACCCGCCAGTCCGGAAACGGAACAAGTGATCCGAATCGACGTCACGTCAAATATATCGTTCGACGATGTTGATCATTTGAAGAACAATAACAATTTCTTATTATTGAAAAACGATTGTAGTAAGGGCCATGGAAAATTAATTATCAACGAACAAAAAAAATGTGATAACAATAATAATAATAATATTAATAATAATGAGAGAATTGAAAAAGAAATTAATAACGATGACGATGGGGTTGAGGAGGATTTCATTGTTAAGTGTAGACAATTAGCTCTGACTCAAAAAAAGCGATAGGGGGTACAGGTTTTCATAAAATTTGATATTGATTTTATGTCATGGCTTGTATATTTATTAAATTTAAGGAAAACAATGAAAAGATGGTTTGGCTTAAATTATATTTAGAATTTTATTTAGGTACCTAAGTGAAAATGTAGGTAGATATAGAAAATAGGTTTAAGTACTCAAGTAAATTGTATTTGAATCATTGGTCCTGATTTGTTTTATTGTTCGAGAATTATTGTCACAAATGAGATATCGTTGCTTTCATAAGTTTTTGTGGTAGGTACCTATTTCTAGGCATGCGATATTTTTCAATAAAAATGTAAGGTTTTCTCAAAATTCGCCTAAGAATAACTAAAATAAAAAAAACAAAGTCCTTTATTACAATTTATTAATAAATCTTACCTTATACAGATTAATTTATGGTTAGAGTTTTTTTTTCTTCCTCACTGGATTTTTCTCTCGGTTACGGGGATGTTCTGTCTCCTCCCGTCTCTTCGAGAATAGGTCTTTGCAATTTCTTTGTCTTGTTCTGCCCTGTTCTTTTTCTATATTTATCCTTAACTGTCATTCTGCCACTATACATTGAAGTTTCTATCTGGAATCGTTTCCACCTGATACAGTCGTCAGTCGCTTAGCATTGCTATTTTTCCAGATATTATCTTATGCTTTGTTTGTTGTTTTCAAGTAATTTTTTACTAGAGACAATGGTCAGTGAACAGGCCAATACCGACTGTTTTTATGTTTGTTCATATCGAAAAGTTGTTCAGTTTTTTTTTTTACTGGAATGAATATGCGATTCTTTTTGGCTATCTCAGACTCCGAATGGATCTCCAATGGGTCTCTCTTCCTATCTGTTCAGTTCTTCTATGAGGTGGCTCTTCATTATATATTCATTCATAACAAATAAAAGACATTATTTATTTATTTATTTATTAGTGCACAGAATGGCTTAGGACCTTGGAAAAGACTTGTAGTGTAGGTACTTTCTATGTTCTGAGAAAAAATCTGCTTGGTAGTTACTTCGTTTGTCGGAGCCAATTTCTTGAGGACCCTTTTGTATTCTTAAACCAGTTATGTGATGTGCTTTTCATGGCTTCTAGAGCTTTAAGATCCACTTGATACTCGTAAGCACAGGTATTTAAAGCAATCAGTTCAACTTGAAATATTTTTGGCCCTATTTTCATTTGGTCCATATATTTCCGAACCGACTCTCTCCAATATAAATGAATGATTTAGGGGTATTATTACACTGCTACCTGCATAGATTTATAGTGCCCCCTTCTGAATACTTTAGTTCATAGGGTTCTTATCAAAGCACCTCATCCAGCTTTAAAGCTTTCACGAATGCAAGTAAGCTGGATGGTTCTATGCATCGATTTTTTTCCCACGGTGCAGCATCCGAAGCAGGCAATTCGTTTGTTCACGATCGCCTAGTACTCTGTAAGAGAAGGTGTGGAGCTTCCTTTCCTTCCTCACAGAACCGACAGCTAACTTCGTTTTCGATTCTAATTCTCTCAAGGTGCCCCCTTAGCCGGCAGTGGCCTGTAATGAATCCAGTAAAAATGCGGAGATTGTTTCAACTCAGTGATAAGTCTTATGCTCGGTCTTATGATTTCCCTTGGTGAGAGGGCCCAAGAAACTTTTTTGATTGCCTCAACTCTGCAAACTGCTCCCAGAGGCTGATCCACATATTTTTTTTTCACACTTTCGAGCCTATGCTCTGCACTGAAGCTCATTGTGGTTTATTGTACGTCATTTGCATGGACTCTACTCCTTCCCATTCATACTAGAATCTAAATGGTCGGCCTTATCATGCATCTCCTCACCCTGAGATGGTCCGATTCGCAATCCATGGTCGGCCATTCAGACTCCACCGACATCACGCAAGCCTGAGAAAGTCCTTCGACATCCTCTCGCCAAACCAACGAGCCGGTTAAAAAACAAACAACCATGCACTAGCTGGGATTCGAACCCAGGACCCGCAGTATGCGAAGTAAATACACCAACAACCCACATAACAGTGAAAGAACATTCATATTCTCAGAATATTCCCTCAAAGTGCTTTTTGGAATGTTCTTTTAGGAATGTTTATTGAATATTCTAAGATTGTTTTGATTGATTTATTCATTTTTGGACGTTCTATTTATGTACTAGGAATGTTGCTTCTATGCACCTACTTGAAAGATTTGTGCTAAGAACCTACTTTATATACCTAACATTATTTGAATCTTCTCATACGAACATTATTATAATGTACCCTAAAAAAAGTTGTGCTGAGACGTTTATGTAGGTAGGTACCCATGATAAGAATATTTTCATATTGTTCACCTAATAGACCGATCTCCTATTACCTGGACTGCGCGCGTCGCTTGTAGGCTGCAGGTGAGCGTCCAATAAGAAGCAAGTTGGTGACAGGCTTGCGTCATATTCTTATTCAGGGGCCAGTTCAGAATGAATCATTCCTTCTTTCTTTGTAACGTGTAATTTGACAAAGAGCAAACTAATACTTTATAAACTGCTGGACAATTGCTTTCGAACACGGTAAATATCGCCTAACTCTCAAGCTCGATATTTTTGGAACCAGACTAGATATCGACCTGCGGTTTTCACGGGCCGACAGATTGACTTTTTGTAAAAAAAATTGCTATTTTGAAATTTTTTTAAATGTCTACTTTTTTTTATACAGGGTGTTAAAAGAGTCCATGATTTTCATCCCAATTTTGAATGTGTGTAACTTTCTCAGATAATTTTTTAAATTTTATTTCTATGCGGCGTATAATCTTCTGCAAAAAAAGTAATTTCTCAAATTTTTTATACCTGCCTTAGTTTTAAAAATATCGATTTTTTTTCATAACCTCCACTTTTTTCAATTTTTAAGCACCTGAACCATCCTGTACAATAAATCTTGCATCTTATGCTGCTGTTTGATATACCCCACGATATCCTGGTTTATGAAAAAAAAAAACTAAAATAATGTGGTGTCCAGTAGCGTACTAATAATCGCCCATTTTCGGAATTATTTATTAATGGCTGACCGAATTTTACATTCAAAGGTGCATAATTTTAAAAATAATCATTTGAAGTTTCATTTGTTTAGTTCACTTTATTCATTGACATATTATTAAGAAACCATTTTCTCAAAATTTTGATATTTGCCTTTGGTTTTAAAATATCGTTTATTTAACATAACCATATTAATTTTTTCAATTATTCCGTTCTAAACCATCCTGAATCGTTCTTACCGGTGAATTTTTTAGCAATTGTTATACCTTTCAGCCAGCATATTTACTATGATTAAAAATATCGAATACCTCAATGATATGCTATACAGTGGCGTGCTAATAATTATTTATACCACTGATAAAATTTAAATATTTGGAACCGATTTCGTTGTGAGAGGAAAGCCGAATTTTTATTACCTACGTGCTAATTTTCTTTGAGCTTCATGTTTAAAGGTATTTCAATTAAAAATTCTTCCACTAATGGTAGCAGTATCACAAAATAAAGTTAAGGATGGTAAATTATATTATCTGGCAAACAAAAAATTATATGAACAACGTTAATGCTTCTTTAAGTTGATTTAAAACAAAGCACAAAAAGTGTTCCTATAGGTTTTTTACGTTATGTTTAGGATGACGTCGTAGAACAAGGACTCACAATGTTGTCAATGTCTATTTTTTTCCTTAAAATTTAACAGAATGTAATAAAAAATTATCAAGACCACTCACAGCTAGAAATAACAAAATGAATCGACACGTGTTATTTATTTGAAAATGTTTATTCAAATCATACAACGTCGCGCGCCGTTATCAACCGGTAACATCTGAAATTCCCCTACTTTAAATGCGTTGAGAAGTACCTACTTTCAGTTTAGTTAGGTAAATACCTAGGTAAAACGAATCAAAATAAGTGAAATAAAAAACTAATCAAAGTAAGATTCAATAACAAAAACAAAGTGACCTTAAAGTTAAGTAATAAACAACCTAAACTAAAAAAATTAACAAAGAACGGCCGATAATCAAAGTTATTTAATTAATAGAATAGCTAGTAAGCCCTCCCCTCACATTCACAACCTCTTGGCATCGCCGTGGCATGTTGTCAACCAAGAGATTATTGAATGCCTGAGGGATATTTTGCCACTCTTCTTCTATGGCAAGTGCGAACTCATCCAGCGTTTGGGAGCATTTTCGCGCGATCCTACCAGTAACTTAAGCTGAGACCACACACGATCAGGAGATTTTGGAGGCAGGTGTAACTGTTGCATGTTATGCTCCCCCAAAAGCTCCTAAACGTTTCTTGCTTTGTGTGGTCTCGCATTATGGTCAACCATGAAGAAATGCTCCCCAATATTTTCTGCATATGTAATAACAATGTCATTTATTATGTGATTCCGATAAATTATGGCGTTAACAGTACCCCGTGAAATGTATAAGTCGGATCTATGGTTGAACATCACTCCGGTCCAAACATAAAACCCTCCTCCTCCAAAGGTTTCCTGAGAAGCCATGTTGTCTTCTTCAAATCGCTCCCCAGGTTGCCTGCATACTAACACCCTACCATCAGAGTGTATCAGGTTGAACCGCGTTTCGTCGCAAAGGAAATACTTTCGCCACTCATGTAATGCCTTGATTAACAGAAAATGAAAGGAATAATTAGCTTATTCGCCTTTTAAATGAAGAGCTAAGTTAAAGACGTAGCGCGAATATATTCGGTAAGCGGCAGCACTATAAATTACCTAAAACAGCTTTTTCCCCTGAACGGTCTTGTCCGCTATGTGCACAGAGGTAGGGCTCCAGGGAAAATTGAGGGATGAGCAGCATGAACTCTATTAAGAAAGGTTCACAATAACCGGACTTCGTGCTCTAGTGTTTTGAATGATAGCCTAAGAAGGCACACTGGTATAGTGGCATTTAACAGGACCGTTAGAAGAACGCTAATGCGAGCAAAATGTGTTCACCTTTTGCCAAACCATAGAAGACTTGGTGTCGAATAAGCCACCGATAAATTGGCATGGAATGACGAATATCGGAATTGTTTTTTTTTTTTTGTGACGAAACGCGGTTCAACCTGATACACTCCGATGGTAGGGTGTTAGTATGGAGGCAACCTGCGGAGCAATGTGAAGAAGACAACATGGCTTCTCAGGAAACCTTTGGAGGAGGAGGGTTTAATGTTTGGGCCGGAGTGATGTACAACGATAGATCCGACTTATACATTCCACGGGGTACTGTTAACGCCGTAATTTATCGGAATCACATAATAAATGACATTGTTATTCCATATGCAGAAAATATTGAGGAGCATTTCTTCATGGTTGACCATAATGCGAGACCACACAAAGCAAGAATTGTTTAG